TAAATTACTGACTATGTGATAAACATTGCCTAATCGTAACTGAAAAGAACAAAACGTAGATAGAAATGATCAGACCTGAAGAGCATCTAGTCCGGCTTGCACAACAGGTCCTAAGATAGTCTCGGTGAGTTTAGTTGGAGCGAAGATTCGAGGAATTTCCGCAAGTACAGCGCGGATTGACTGTGCGGCTTGAGAGTAGGGCAGAAGAAGACCATCAACAATTGGCACGAACATATCGCTAACATCACCTTGAATCAAAGTTGACGACTGTGCACAAAATAACATTCACGCTTACTTACCCACTACCAACATAGCCGGCTGCGCCGCAGACAAATCGAAGAAGTGGACAACCTGATCGAAGGTTGCTATTCCTACATGAATAGTTGACTCAGAAGCTCCAAGTTCTCTGAAAAACGTTTTCTTTAGTATTTAAATCCGATGGGAAGTTTAAAATAACCAAAGTAAAATGAAGTTCTGTACAGCAACGCATTTTTCTTTTGAAGGATACAACCACTAAGCAAGATGTAATTCCCACGAATTGCAAAGAAAGTTAGTAGAAATCGACTGCCATTGGAAGGCTTCATTCAATTAGCCGCAAGACATGTTGTATGACAAGGAAAAAGCAACTACATAAAGTTTCATCGTAAGAAAAGGGCACAACCTTACAAGACTGTTCGAAAACACAAGCGAAAGAAAGAAATGAAAAGTAAAAGAAAACGAGACATGTGCATTAAGGGAGCTTACTTGGGCAAACGTTGAAGGAGCTTCTCTAGATTTGAGCAAACGACATGCAGCATACCATTTTGTACAGCGTTGTACGAAACATCAATCATGAATATGAAAGCTGGCTCTTTCGGAGGAAGGCCATTCTATAACTGGTAAAAACACATTTCTCTAAATAACATACAAATAGAAATTATGAGCTGCCCTAAATGCTCAATCAGGTAAGACTTCTTCTTAATAAACAGAAATTCGCAACCTTGCAATACTGCTTCGTGGCAATGAACTCGTACGCTCCCAAAAACAATTCAGGGCGATGATCAATATCAGTTCGTCGACCAGTGTGATCCAAATGAGCAAAATAGACATCTTCAACTGAAAACAGAGCACTATCTTCATATTGGATGACAACAACTAGTGAGCCTGTGATGAACAAAAATAAACTCCCGAAAGAAAAAACATATTAAAGAGCTTAGAAGACAGATATGCT